CCGCATCTTCCTGACACCACTCCAACCACACTCTGGCTCGGGAAAACGCCCACTGCTCGCTCTCTTTGCGTTTGGGGGTGCACCGCCTATGTCCTCCTCAACCCTCAGGCTCGACGGCAGCACGGCGGCAAGCTCAGTCCCAAGACCCAGACATGCATCTACCTCGGACACAACGTCGATTCGCCTGACTACCTCTTCCTCAATCCCTCCACTCAGCAGTTGGTCCGGAACCGCGACGTTGTCTTTGATGAGACCCGCCCATTCTATTCCACTTCGGGACGGGACCCTCTCCGTGACCCACCCTCCCTCGTGTGGGCAGACATTGATGCGCCTCGTGACCTCTCGCCTGCTCCGGCCCCTTCACCCCCTACCCCTCCTGCCACTGCACCGTCCCCCTCTGCGGTCTCTGACCCGCCCTCACCGGTGTCTTCGGCAGCTGCTCCTCCATCCCCCTCACTTCCCACTCCGCCGACTGTGCACCACAGAGGAACCCGCTCTCCCACAGTCGCCCGAGCTGATCATGTACCACCGGCGGCCCATTCCCCCGCCCAAGCCTCTTAAGACAACCCCCCCGACACCACCTGCCCCACCCTCTTCTCTGGTGGCTCATGGCACTCGTTCGCATGGCGCGGCTCTTCCACTAGCGCTGGTTCTTCGATACACGGCGATCATACCGCCTCCTCCTGCTGGGGGGATGTGCCCTATACCTTTCGGGAAGACAGGCATGAGGAGCTGTGTGATCTTCATGCAGTCATTCTTCAGCTCTCGCACATCTTCCCCAACATCACTGACTCACCCTCCCTCAACTTCGCGGAGAACCCGACCATCCCTATCCCTCTCACCGTCCAAGAGGCTCTCTCAGCCCCTCATGCTGCCGAATGGCGTGCTGCCATGGAAGCGGAGATTGTAGCATTCACCCGCAACCACTCCTTCGACAACGAGACACCACCTCCAGGAGTCAACATCGTCGGGGGCAAGTGGTTGTTCCGTGTAAAACAGCTCCTAGACGAGGCCCCGGTGTTCAAAGCGCGTTACGTAGCCAAGGGCTTCACCCAGCAGCAGTACCGCGACTTCTTCCTAACCTTCTCCCCCACATCCAAACCTCCCACCATTCGTACGCTCATGGATGTCGCAGCTCGAGAAGACTTTGAGATCAAATCCATGGATGCCTCATCCGCCTTCCTACAAGGACGTCTCAAGGAGACGGTGTTCATGGACAGACCAGAAAGCTTCCCAGGAGAATTCCCTCCCAACACTGTCTGGAAGCTCAATCGCCCCGTCTACGGCCTTAAGCAAGCCCCTTACGAATGGCACAACAAGGTGAAAGAAGTCCTCCTCTCCCTGGACTTCCACCCTTCAATTGCTGACCCGACTCTCTTCATCCGCCGTCACTTTGAGCCATTCGACATCCTGGTCTACGTGGATGATTTCATCCTCATTGCCAAGGACTCGGCCCAGATTACCTCTGTCCAGGCAGCCCAGAGCAAGACTCTCCAGATGAAAGACCTCGGTGACCTCAAGCACTACCTGGGGATGGAGATCACTCGTGATCGCCAGGCTCGCACCATTTCACTCTCCCAAGAGTTTTACATCGACAATGTGCTCAAGCGGTTTGAGATGGAGCTGTGCACACCTGTCGCCACCCCGCTGCCGCTGCAACACCTCCTCACTGCTCCAGCTGTACCCACACCAGAGGCCTGCTCTGAGCCATACCCGCAGCTTGTTGGGTCCCTCATGTACGCCATGATGTGCACCCGACCGGACTTGGCCTATCCTGTCAGTGTCCTCTCTCGCTACGTGGCCCCTGGACGCTTCACTGATCTTCACTGGAAGGCGGCAAAGCGGGTGCTGCGCTATCTTCAGGGCACCAAGTCTCACGTTCTCACACTCGGTGGGCTCTCCCCTCCTCGCCTGGAAGGTTACACCGACTCCTCCTGGGCTGATGACCAGACCGATCGACGCTCCTCTCAGGGGTACTGCTTCACCCTTGGGAGCGGAATTGTCAGTTGGCGCTCCACCAAGTCGTCTGCGGTCTCCCTCTCCTCTTGTGAGGCAGAGCTCTACGCAGGCACCATGGCTGCTCAGGAGGCCCGTTGGCTCACCTTCCTACTCCAGGAGCTTGGTTTCCCGCAGTCCGCCCCCACCCTCTGGTGTGACAACCAGAGTACCATCTACATCTCTCAAGACCCTGTGTATCACACCCGCACCAAGCATATTGAACTTCGACACTTCTTCATCCGTGACCTTGTCCAACAGGAGCAGCTGAAAGTGGAATATGTTGCATCTGACTGCAACCTGGCTGATCTGTTCACCAAGCCCCTTGGGAAAGTTCCCCACCACCGTCTCCTAGGCGCCATGGGGCTCTGTGCACCACCCTCTCTACCATGAGTTCGATTGACGCCTAAGGGGGGGTGTTAGTGTTAGCCTTCAATCTCACACTTTGTACTTTGTATTTTCTATATCCTAGAGTAGTGCAGTTTGCACATTGTGTTTGGTTGGGTGTACAGATACATCCCAACCAAACCCAAATGTCATCTCCAAGCAATCTCCAACCCACCAATTGGAGATTGCCTTGGGATTACCCCCAATCTCTATGGATTGCCCCAGATTCCCTTCCCCATCCATTCCCTCCCCTTCTTGGATGTACTTAAAGAGCTTCAAGCTCATTACTAATGTATCACTTCTAAGCCTAAGTTATGAGACTCCGAGCCACCAAGCTCTCCGAGCCACCATGCTCTCCGAGCCACCAAGCTCTCTGGTCATGATGGTCATGATGGTCATGATGGTCGTGATGGTCGTGATGGTCGCTCTGCGTGAGCGCAGTCAATAGAGCAATCGGGAGAGCACCGCTGAGAGCGCCTCCCCGCTTCTTCATCGAGCACCGCCTGCAGGAGATCCAGTTTGCCCCCAGCCGAATGCTCGAAGCCCCGGAGGCGGGCTGCCTGCTGCAGGGAGAGGAGGAGCGACAGAGGAGTCATGAGAAGGTCGTCATGGCCTATATAGGGCAGAGGGCCAAGGCAAAGGGCAGAGGAATAACCAACCCTCCCTACCTCTTCCCTGCAATCTGGTCCTCGGCCTTATCGCAAGAGGTGTTTGGTTGCACGAGGTGCACTGCCCTAACCCTACATGAATTCGAGCGCCATCCTCTTCCTACAAATCTCCCTTTCTCTTATGTTCATACTTGTGCTGCCAACAGCACGGCCAAGTGATCTTCTTGATCTCCCTCAATGCGTGTTTTATCTTGAATTTCTTGTCTCCAGATAATAGTTTATCTCATCTAGAGGAAATTGCAGGACGGGTCACACCAGTGCCACCCCCTCTCACAACTCTTACTAAACCCCAGTGATTACAGAAAGTGCTTCTGTTACGCGTGCCCAATCTTGAAGTGCCCTTCAAGTGCCTTTTAATTCTGCTCACGATTCACCCCACCCAATGCCGTTTCTCTCTTAAATGTTTCCCCCCCTTTTAGTGATCGCCGGGAGGGCCACTCTGTGAGCGGTGCTGTGACCTGTGACCTCTCACACTCGCTCTCTCTCAATGCTGCCACATCCCACCGGTACTTTACTGCCACATCCCACTGGTACTTTACTGCCACATCCCACCGGTACTTTACTGCCCCTTCCCACATGCGCACATGCACACGCGGACGCATTCCCACATACACACGCATGCGCACGCACGTGCGCACACACTCACGCATGCACTCTCGCATGCACTGTGCTCACACATGCACACGCCTAAGTTGCAAAATACGCGTATAGCGTATATACGCGTATCGTATATACGCTAGCGTATATACGCTATACGCATAAGGGAGCGATTTGGACATACGCTTTTTGGGGCAGGGAAAAAACTTTCCCGGGCAGGGGAAAAAATCCGCCCGGGCTGTTATAGGGGGGGGGATCTAAGGGGTTATGTTTCAGAGGTAAGTTTTTCTCCATACTAAGATAACCACCCTCGACTCGGCCTGAAATCGGGTTAAGATGCAGAGTTCGTAGGCTATAGACTGCAATAGCGTTGCGCGAATCTGCTCTGCTTCGGGCTCGCAATCACAAGGCATGATTGCTAGAGTGTAGGAGGAGGCGTAGGAGAGATCCTGGACAGGGAAACCATCGCCAATGCTGGAATTCGTGCCCCACACCCATCGCCAATGTTGCCTCCAACCAATTCCCCCTCCCATCACCTATCTTCACCGCATTGCATCTATCTCATCCAACCAATTTGATACTTGAAATTTGTACAGTCGTCACGTCACTTCCTTCCAGTCCAGATCTACAAGACGTTGTTCTAGGGAGAGTCTCTCCCCCCATCCCTTCTGCGGGAAGAACCTTCGATCCGCGCGGATCTGCGCGGAAGGGAAATTGCCGATCAGCACGGAAATCGCCGTTCACCCTTGCACAAATCGCAGACGTGAATTTTGACGGTGGCAAAATGCTCGTCGTGCAATTCCGCATCTTTCCGTATATTCACATTTTTTTCGGTCGGGCTGCCCCAAAAAAAATTGGCAAGCGTATAGCGTATTAGCTTGCGTTTAGCGTGTAAAAGCTAGCGTATATCCGCTAAACGCACAGTGTCCTGAGCGTATTTGGCAACTCAGGCACACGCACGCACGTGGTTCATTCACATGCACACACACACTCACACTCACACTCACACTCACTCACACACCTACACACAAATCAACTGTCCCAATCCCACACGTCTGTCTCCTCTGCCCCATCCGTCCATTGCCACATCTCTGAGCGCCCACCAGGCTTGCCTCTGCAGCGTGGCTGTACACGCGAGTCACAGCACACAGCAAGCAGCCCGACCGAACACGAGTGTTGCTGCAGGTACTGCCAATGCACTGGGTGCTGCAGGTGGGGTGGCTGCTGCACAGGTGCACTAGGTACTACAGCTATCCTAGCCTTTGACGCTGGATATTACATGCTTGTTGGCAATTTCCAGGCAGATTACTTCATGCGTGTTCATTTGTTCTATGTGATTCCACTCCTCTCTCTATGTCCTCTCTCTTGTACCCATCCCTCTCTACTCCATCCTCTCCCATCCTTCACCTTCTTCCACCATTCCTTCATCCCCTCCCATCCTTCCTCCATACTTTCCCATCCTTCATCACCTCTTATTCTTCATCATCTCCCATCCCTCCACATCTCCCATCCCTCCTCATCTCCCATCCCTCCTCATCTCCCATCCCTCCACATCTCCCATCCCTCCTCATCTCCCATCCCTCCACATCTCCCATCCCTCCTCATCTCCCATCCCTCCACATCTCCCATCCCTCCTCATCTTCCATCCCTCCTCATCTCCCATCCCTCCTCATCTCCCATCCCTCCACATCTCCCATCCCTCCTCATCTCCCATCCCTCCACATCTCCCATCCCTCCTCATCTCCCATCCCTCCACATCTCCCATCCCTCCTCATCTCCCATCCCTCCACATCTCCCATCCCTCCTCATCTCCCATCCCTCCTCATCTCCCATCCCTCCTCATCTCCCATCCCTCCTCATCTCCCATCCTTCCTCACATCTCACCCCCCACCTCCCCCCCACTCCAGTGGGTACTTCGACCAACTCCCCGCCACACCTTCTCGCCCCTCCTCGCCCTCTCGCCTTCTCGCCCAGCTCAGGCTGTGGTCACGTGGAAGACCCAGAGCCGGCCTGCTGCAGGTGGGGACGGGGAGTGAGGATAGAGTATGAGGATCGAGGATAAATGTTTGAACACAATCTCTCTATGCCCTTCCCTCTCGCCCCTCCTCGCTCTCTCGCCCACTCGTCCCGCTCAAGCCGTGGTCACGTGGAAGACCCAGAGCCTGCCTTCTGCAGGTGAGGATAGGGTGTGGGGAATGACGGGTGATGTTAAGATAGAGTGTGAGGATGGAGGATGAGATTGGGGATTAGCACGTCAACACACTTGCACCTTCAGCTTCCCCTCTCACCCACTCGTCCCGCTCAAGCCGTGGTCACGCGGAAGGCCCAGAGCCTGCCTACCACCGGTGAGGGTGGAGTGTGAGTGAAAATTGAGTGTGAGTGAGGATAGAGTGTGAGTGAGGATAGAGTGTGAGTGAGGATAGAGTGTGAGTGTGGATAGAGTGTGAGTGAGGATAGAGTGTGAGTGAGGATAGAGTGTGAGTGAGGATAGAGTGTGAGTGAGGATAGAGTATGAGGATCGAGGATAAATGTTTGAACACAATCTCACTTTGCCCTTTCCTCTCACCCTCTGGTCCCCTTGCACCTTCAAGCCTGCTGAAGATGGTCGAGCCGTGGTCATGTGGAAGACTCAGACCTTGCCTGCTGCACGTGGGGATGGAGAGCGGGGATGGGGTTGGGGGATAGGGGGTGAGATAGGTAGAGGTGTTGGGACATATTCTCAGCGAGCAGCAAACTCGCAGCTTCAGCTTCCCCTCTCAGCGAGCAGCGAGCAGCGAGCAGCGGGGATGGGGGGTGAGATAGGTAGAATAGAGGTGAAGCACTTCAACAGACTCGCAGCTTCAGCTTCCCCTCTCGCGACCCCCACACCCCCCACTTTCCCCCCTCTTTAGTCACTTGTTGCGGGCTTTTTTTTTCAGGGAAATAAAAATCGTTGTCACTCATTCCATCCTTGACCTACCTCTGCGCATGGTATTTCTGTCTTCATTTGTTGATTGTCTCCTAGTCACCTGCATCTCTGCCCCCCCACCAGCAGGCACCACTCCCCATTCGCTACAGCTGCGCCTCTTTCTGTCAAGTCATGGGGCCATGGCTGTCAGGCTCAATGCAGCTATGGGCGAAGGATTTACAGATGGGGATGCAATCGAAGGGACGATGATGGACGTTTAATTTGAAAGTTGAAATCACTTGAGTTTAATCAAATGTCATGTCACCTCAAACTCAATGCAGCCATGGGCTATGGATTTACACACAGGGTGATGCCGGGCGTTTGAGTTGGGGCTTGTTCGTTATGCCATGGTTTATAAGATAATGCGCCTGCAATCTGTGTTCTCATCTCATGTCGCGTGGCCAAAACCGTCCCTCCCCTCTGCATCATTGCCCCTCCCAACTCAGCGTACCGTACTGTATCATTTGAGTTCGCAAGGCCCTGAACCTGCAGGTCAGTTGCTGCATATTCACTGCTCACAGAGATACATCAGCATGCGAAGGAGTTGGCAGATGGGCCTTACTGTAATGTATATTTATAAATGGCAGAATGATTACGCTGGGGCATCAGAGCTGATAACATACATTCGCAGCAGGCCCGTCACGTAAGCGAGTAGATTTTACCTAGTACTCCATTTGTATAAATAATGTTAACACCTCTGTTACAACAGCCCTCTGCCCCCTTTCGTGGGCGACCCTGGCCTCCTCCCATTCTCGCCCATCACCCCCCCATACTCCACATCCCCCTTCCCCTCCTCCCCCAGTCCCATCCCTCCTCCCCCACCCTCCTCCCCCTTCTGCACCGGCAGCAGCGGCAACGCCTCCTTCCCTCCCTTGCCCTCCTTCGTCCCCTTCTCTTTCTCCACAGCCCAGCTATACAGCAGCATGCCCACGATGGCCATGAGCATGCCGCTGAAGTTCTTTAGTGTGAAGGGGTCCTTGAAAACGGTCCAGCCCAGGATGAGCACCACCACCGTCTTCATGTGCCCCAGCACCTGGAAGGACGTTGCCGAGAACTTTCCGATGCACAGGTAGACGGAGAGGTTGCAGCCGATGGCAAAGGCGCACGAGAGGGAGATGAAGAACTGGTGTGGTGTGGGGTGGGAAAGGGTGGAGGGGGATATGGGGGAGATGAGGAAGGGGCTTGAACGTGCATGAGCCAAAGGTCAATGGGGTTCAATGGCCAAGGCGAAAGAGAGGAAGTTGATGAACTGGAGTGGGGAGGGGTGGAGGGGGGGTAGAGGGGAATGGTAAGGAAGATTTGGAAAGGAGATTGAAACATGAATCAATGTCATAATGCCAGCCACTAAACCGCTAGGATAAAAGAGTTTGTTACGTAGCGGGTCAGTGCGGCCATAACCCCCCAAGCAACGAACCTGTATCATTTCCATAGGATCAATCGGGCATCCCCAGTGCTGGCCTTTTAACACCCCCTCTCACAGGGATGCCCTAGGACACTGGCACAGCGGCAGCGCCAGCATGTGCACACATTGGGATTCGAACCCGAGACCTTCGTTGTGATACCATGTCAGAATCTCAGCTACTACAATGTGATAAATTGGCTTGTTAAGTAGCGGGTCAGTGCGCCCATAACCCTTCAGGCCAGCGAGCCTGCAACCTTTCTGTAGGATCAATCAGGCATCGCAAATGCTGGTCTTCTAACAATCGAAAGGCATGCAATGTGACTGTGAATGGGGAGGAGATGTGAATAAAGAGGAGATGTGAATGAAGAGGAGATGTGAATGAAGAGGAGATGTGAATGAAGAGGAGATGTGAATGAAGTGGAGATGTGAATGAAGAGATGTGAATGAAGAGGAGATGTGAATGAAGTGGAGATGTGAATGGACAAGGTAATGAGGGAAGGCTGGAAGGAGCAGGAAAATAGTTGGTGTGTGTATGGGAAGCAAGAGCAACGGAAGGAGATAAGGAAAACGAGAGCCAAAACCCAACAATTCAGTCAAGAGGAGACGCAATTCCCCTTTCTTTCAGTCCAAATGCCCTCCACAGCTTTGCATACACCTTTGTTGCGAAGTGCTATACAACGAATCACCGCAGAATTGCTGGTGATGGGAAACGTGACATGGCTCGAATTAGCGATATCTGCCTGTCGGTCAATCTGTCTGTCTATTGTGATAGTATGATCATGCAACTCACAGCAGCCTTGCTGGTGATGGTAAACTCGAGCAGGTTGTGGAAGGTAAAGAGCTAGTTTAGAGAGAGCATGAGCAGCAAAAGAGTGCCGGCTTGGATGGGCGTTGTCTGTTGGTCTGTCGGTCTGTCTATTGCGATCAGTAAGTTAAGACACTCACCGTAGCGTTGCTGGTGACGGGGAACTCAAGAAGGTTCTGGGAAGTGAGGAGGTAGTCGAGGAAGGGGCCGACAATCACGAGGGTGACGGCCTGGATGGGCGCTGTCTGGCGCAGCAGGTCGAACGACCCCACGTTGTGCTTCCTCTGCAGCTCGCCCACGAACTGAGGGGCAAGAACAAGCATGGGAACAGAGGAGCAGGTGAGGAAGGTAGGTAGGACAAGGATGACGAAAGATGGCCGGCAGCAAATGGGCGCTGTCTGCCCGAGCAGCACATCAAAAAACCCACTATCTGCTATAGAGACGTGGAAACCACCACCACAGTGGCAGTAACAAGCAAAGGCGTTAACGGAGATGTCAGTAACGGTGCACACGACCACCCGCAACCACCCCCACCCCAACATACTCTGCCACATGCACCCTCTCCCATCTTCCTGCCATACATCCCATCGCATTCCTTCCCGCCACTCACAATTTGCTGCAGGGAGGTAGAAACCACCGCCACAGTGGTAGTAACGACGCCAAAGGCGTTGACGGAACTGTCTGTAACGGTGCACACGCCCACCCCCAGCAATTCTCACGCCCTTACAGTCTGCCTGCGCTGCTGAACGAGGAACACCCACGATCTGCTGCAGAAATGTCGATACCACCGCCACAGTAGCCGTAACGAGCCCAAAGGAGTTGACGGAGATGTCAGTAACAGTGCCACACGCCCACGCCTAGCATGACTGCCACCCTCACCCCCCGCCTACGGGTTGCCTGCGCTGCTTTATGAAAAACACTCACGATTTGCTGCAGGGAGGTAGAAACCACCGCCACGGTAGCGATAACGAGGCCAAACGCATTGACGGAGATGTCAGTGACGGTGCACACGCCCACGCCTAGCAACCCATACGCACCCAACTGCACTCACCCACCACTGCCAGCCACAATTACCACTCAAAAACGGTATTGCTGCATCATACCATAACACTCACAATCTGCTGGAGCGACGTCGACACCACCGCCACAGTAGCGGTAACGAGCCCTAAGGCGTTAACAGACATGTCAGTGACGGTGCACACGCCCACTCCCAGCTACCCCCACCTCCAGTACCCTACAGGCAACCTCTGCTGCTGAATGAAGAACACTCACAATCTGCTGGAGCGACGTAGAAACCACCGCCACAGTCGCAGTAACGAGCCCAAACGCGTTGACGGAGATGTCAGTGACGGTGCACACGCCCACTCCCAGCATGACCGCGACCACTGACAGCTTGACCTCCCTTGAGTAGGCCTTGGCGTGCAGCAGCGTCTCACACAGACAGGTCACCGGGATGATGGCGAGCTTCGATATCTGATGGGGGGGGGGGAGAGGGGGAAGGAGACGGGGAAGGGGAAGATGGATGGGAGAGGGTTAAGGGGTGGTGTGGAGGGTGTGAGAGCTTGACTTGGCGTGCAGCAGCGTCTCACACAGACAGGTCAATGGGATGATGGCGAGCTTCGATATCTGATGGGGAGATGGGGGGAGGAGGGAACGTGAACGGGGAGGGGGAATGGAACGTGGGTGGGGAGGGGGTTATGGGGACTTGGTTGGGGATAGGGTTTAAGGGTGCTGTGGTGGGTATGACTCCTGCAACTTCCTGGAATCTGCGTTCGCGAGTGGGAGAGTCTTGTACACACTAGTTGCCGACTTTACTTTGTATTACTAGCCTTTTTTCCAAACTTGCCTGAACCCCACAAACTTGCCCAAAACCCACTCCTTTTTCCCTCTCTCACCCGCTCATCCCCTCTCGCCCTCTCTCTCACCTGGTAGAAGCCCACCCGAGTTGGACATGAGCGAGAGGTTCATGCCGACGATGGAGAGGTTGGCGAGCATTGTGGGGGGGGGGGGGGGGGCGTGTTAAGGAAAACCCTAACCTGCGATGGAAACCGCACTACTCTCCATCTCCCCCCGCTCACCTGGTAGAAGCCAACGGAGTTGGACATGAGGGAGAGGTTCATGCCGACGATGGAGAGATTGGCGAGCATGTCCCACAGAGGGATGTTGGCCGTTCCCGACAGGCACCATCTCTCACCCTCTCTCCCTCTTTCCCCCCCTGCTCACCTGGTAAAACCCGACCGAATTAGACATAAGCGACAGGTTCATGCCGACGATGGAGAGGTTGGCGAGCATGCCGAACCACACGATGTCCCACAGAGGGATGTTGGCTGTCCCCGACAGGTACCCCAGCCACACGCACAGCGCCCCGAACAGGCCGGTGAATGTGAGGTGGAATCCCGTCAGTGTGGTGGCTGGTGGAGGGGGCGTGGTGGGGGCGTGGTGGGGGCGGAGAGGTGGAGAATGGGGAGGGAGAGAGACGGGAAGGACGAAAGGGATGAGGTTTCGTGTGTCCCACAGAGGGATGTTGGCCTGGCCGGATAGGTACCCCAGCCACACACAGAGGGCACCAAACAGCTCCGTCAACGTGAGGTGGAAGCAGGTCAGTGTGTTGGCTGGGGGGGGGAGGAGGAGGAAGGGGTTGGGGGGTGGAGAAGGACCGAGTTTATGTGTGTCTCACTGAGGGGTGTTGGACTTCCCCGAGAGAAAAGTACCCCAGCAACACGCACAGCGTCCCGAACAGTACTGTGAACGTCAGCTGGAATCTGGTGAGGGCGGTGGCTGGTGGGATGGGAAGTGGGGGGGGAGTGGAGAGAGAGTCGGGAGGGAGGAAAAGCGGGAACGCGAGTTCGGGCGTATCTCATTCTGAGATGATGGCCTGCTGCGACGAGTACCCCTGCTGCGACGAGTACCCCTGCTGCGACGAGTACCCCTGCTGCGACGAGTACCCCTGCTGCGACGAGTACCCCTGCTGCGACGAGTACCCCTGCTGCGACGAGTACCCCTGCTGCGACGAGTACCCCTGCTGCGACGAGTACCCCTGCTGCGACGAGTACCCCTGCTGCGACGAGTACCCCTGCTGCGACGAGTACCCCTGCTGCGACGAGTACCCCTGCTGCGACGAGTACCCCTGCTGCGACGAGTACCCCTGCTGCGACGAGTACCCCTGCTGCGACGAGTACCCCTGCTGCGACGAGTACCCCTGCTGCGACGAGTACCCCTGCTGCGACGAGTACCCCTGCTGCGACGAGTACCCCTGCTGCGACGAGTACCCCTGCTGCGACGAGTACCCCTGCTGCGACGAGTACCCCTGCTGCGACGAGTACCCCTGCTGCGACGAGTACCCCTGCTGCGACGAGTACCCCTGCTGCGACGAGTACCCCTGCTGCGACGAGTACCCCTGCTGCGACGAGTACCCCTGCTGCGACGAGTACCCCTGCTGCGACGAGTACCCCTGCTGCGACGAGTACCCCTGCTGCGACGAGTACCCCTGCTGCGACGAGTACCCCTGCTGCGACGAGTACCCCTGCTGCGACGAGTACCCCTGCTGCGACGAGTACCCCTGCTGCGACGAGTACCCCTGCTGCGACGAGTACCCGTGCTGCGACGAGTACCCCTGCTGCGACGAGTACCCGTGCTGCGACGAGTACCCCTGCTGCGACGAGGACCCCAGTCACACCCACGTGAGGTGGACGCACTTTTCGTTGGTGGCTAGTCGTGGGTAGGGAGGTGGGTTGGGGGAGAGAGGGGGGAGTGAAGAGAAACGGGAACGGGGGGAGGGGGGACCGTGGAGCAGAGGGAACGCGGTTCATTGTGTGTCCCACAGAGGGACGATGGTCTGCCCTGACAGGTAGTACCACGCGGGGTGTGCTGGATAGGCATGTGCATGCGAGGAGGTGAGCGTGACAAATGTGGGCGTGAGGAGGGAAACGTGTGAGGAGGGAATGGGAGGAGGGGGATGCGAGGAGGGAAATGTGAGGAGGGAGATGTGAGGAGGGAAATGTGTGGAGGAAATGTGAGGAGGGGAATGTGAGGAGCGAAATGTGAGGAGGGAAACGTGTGAGGAGGGAAATGTGAGGAGTGCTTCCTCTCTCTCTCTCTCTCTCGACGGCAGCTCGAGATACGCCTCGAGGGAGAAGCACGTGAGGTCGCCCAGTTGGTACATTCGCGGCTTCGCGAAGCATTCCTCTCTGCTGCCGCTTCGACGGCTCTCGGGTAAGTTGAAAACACATCTCGCATTGTGATTAACCGCGCGAACGCGACGGGATCGACTCGCATTTGACGAAGAGCGAGCGTACAAGAACCACGAAACATGGATTGCATAACGAACGGATTGGTGAAAGCTGGCGTCCTTTTCATCTTTGTTAAAGCGCGACCTTTGTCGCACCCACTACGGAATCTGTAAACGATCAAGGATGTCTGCGTGAATGTACCCAAGTAAAGCGAATATATGGCGTACCTAGGTTTAAGACGTACCGAGGACAAGTCAGAATAACGTTGATATGAGCGACGAGCCAAATAAGAATGCACGACGAGCGACGCATCAAAGACGAATGGGCGACGCATTGACGAAGAACGAGCAACACGATAGACCGATGAGCGACGCATCGAAGAGGAATGAGTGACGCTTCGAGAGCATAACAACGTTGCTGATCATGATGAGCCCCACGCAGGAGACGCGCCTTCGGTCGACTGGCGTAGTAAATGCACCTGTTACATCTAATCAAGGCGTACTAAAGTCGAAGAACGCACCGAAGACGAAGCGGTAGGAGGACATGACGACCTTGTTGATCATGATGAGCCCCACGGAGCTCACGATATTCATCGCCCATGCCCCCGCCGGCGATATCGCCTGCGGATTGTTGAACATCGCGAATGGCTGACTGTGAACAGATGAATTTAAATAGCTGACTGCGAGTGGATGAGAGTGCTCGGTTGGCAATAATCGGCTGCGAGACGGTTGACTGCGAATTCTCGATAGTCCGCGAGTCGCGAAGACGTCGTATTCGCGGTGGGACGCTACTGAAACAGCCGTAAATTTTCAACTACACAAATCGTTCTAGCCTCAGCTATGAGCACGATGTCTGTCAGAGACTCCCAGAACGGAGGCTAGACAACAACGATTGAATGCACACAGCAGAAGCTCTGATGCGTCGGAGGCACACCACAGCAATGATCCAAATCTGAAGCCTTCGCAGTTCTCTCGCACCTACCTCGTGGCAGCAATGGCGATCGCAGGAATTCTGGTGAGAGTACACCTGTTCTCCGATATCTTTACTACCCTCAATTTTACACCGCGGCTCGGTGTCACTTCGGGGTCCTCAGCCCAACTTTCTTGGAAGCCGAGCTGCCAAAGTGTGGTTGAACATCTAGACCCCCCCCCCACAGAAATGACGCAATTTATACTTGAGAGGCTGAGATGGAAGCCACAACTTCTGAAATATTCGGGGCGTATTCTTGGTGAGGTTCAGACTAGGAAATTTGACTTCGTATCGTGTAGCTTGCTGTAAATTTTGAACTTCGTATTCCTCCAAAACAGTGTCAACGTTTCATAGGCCGACATGAACTTCTTCGAAACAAAACTGAGCAACGCCCTGATTCTGTTTTAGGTGTGAACCCAGCCCCACGCAATCCTGACGTGGTGATGTGGCACTGGCTGGATAAATTTCCCTGAGATCGTGCGATGTACTTTATCCATGTCAGCTGCAGGCTTTGCGACTCGTGTGTGAAATTAACCATAACTTTTTTGCTCTGTCAAATTTCACACCCTCTCGGGCAAACGTTAACGCGACTCGGGTATGTGCCCCGTAAAATTACCGGAGAAGAGGTGTAGCAGAGGCTTGCAGGTGGGCAGGCGCACTCAGAAATACACACGTGAGTGTGGGAGAGCCAAGTGGTGCGGTGTGGAGTACCCAAACCGCCCAGAAGTCTGCTTTGAACCAATCACATATATGTTGGAACTTCATGTGTAGTTCGGAGGTCATCCCGAGACTCGAGAGTCAGGAAGAACGAACCTGGTAGTTCGCTTTGGTCAGGTGGGCGGTCACACATACCTACTGGTTTTTGCGAAGCCCCGCAAACCTGAGCTCAGCTTTGGTGCAGCTCGCATAGCCTTGTGGCTCGGTGTGGGTGCACCTAGGGGCTCCCACGCGCAAACGCTCGTTGAGGTTGGTCGGTCAGACATGTGAAACTGACACAAGTCGCACAGAGAACTCCCAACTCAATTTCCCACACGTGGCAGCAACTTAGCACCTAGGAGCCGCTGTCCTCGCGTTCTCTTGTAAACGTGTGCAGCCACGACTGCGCCTATAGCTAAGCCTAGCCGCCGTCCTTCGAAATGGCCGAGCACGTCGACGTCACGACACTCACGCAGGAGCGCTTAAAGCCCAAGACCTGAATTACTCAACGGAAGTCAGCGCTAAAAGCTAGGTTCGGGAGGCAGGCACGGAGAGGTTCGGTTGGGTTGCGAGAGACTTTCACTCGCGAAACCAATTTGCGACAATCTCGCTTCCCATGATGGCTGGGGTTCTTCCCACAACCAGAAATGCGCGAGCATACCAAACTGTGCACAGTTTGAGATAACACGCAGAGTATTAGGTATAGACCATACCTGTAGACAGGGCAGGGCGTCGGCGTTCACTCATATGGGATCAGATGCGCCATACGATGTGGGTGGTGCGGATTTCGATGATGATGCGCAAAGCTAGTGTCCGCTGGATGAAGATTATTGTGTCGAAATGCAGGTTATTGTGCAACTAGCGTAATCCCGCGGCGAAAATCGAATTGCCACCGTTCGCCCAAACGTGACCCTCCCTTCGCCCTCGCTTTCCTTTCCCACGCTTCCGCTCTTTTTTGCCCGCGTCGTCGCCCTCGCTTTCCTTTCTCACGCTTCCCCTCTCTTTCGCCCGCGTCGTCGCCCTCGCTTCCGCAGCTCGTCGCGTGCCCGTCGCCTTCGCTCCGCCCGTCGCCTTCACTTCCCCCCCGTCGCCTTCACTCCCCCCCCTCCCCCCCCCTCTTCCGTTGCCTTCATTTCCCCCTCCCCGTCGCCTTCACTTCCCCCTCTCGTCGCCTTCACTTCCCCTCCCGTCGCCTTCATTTCCCCTACACAGTCGCTGACCTCATCACGCACCTCCATACTAGTGAGGCCCGCTTCCGTGCCGCCATGCCCGATGAGTTTCTTGCCAAGAACCCTCCCCCGCTCTGGCTCACTCTCTACCACCTAGTCACCCGCCTCCCTGACACTCTACGTGCTGTCAGGGATCACTTCCTAGCTCGCTGCCCCACTGAGCTCACCATTGCCCTCCTCGAGAAGGAACTGCTTGCAGCTAAGGCTAGCATAGTTGCTGTAGGTGCCTCTTGTGGCGACCCCCGCACCCCTTTCTTTGAGGGGTGTTCCTCTTCCCCCCTTCTTCCCTCTGTAGCCTCTGCTTCTGCTGTCGACCTCCTTGGTTCTGAGAAGGTCGGCGCTGCGTCTGCTTCGAGCGGGCGCCGCAACGGCAAGGGCAAAGGGGGCAAGGGAGGTGGAGGTGACGGCGGGGGAGGCGGTGGTGGGGGTGGTGGCGGCGGTGGGGGTGGTGGTGGGGCTTGGGGGGCTAGTGGCAGCGGTGGGGGTGGTGGCGGCAGCGACGGGGGAGGTGCCAGGGGCGGGGGCGGTGGTGGGGGCGGCGGGGGACGCGGCAGCGGCAGGGGAGGGAGTGGTCGAGGAGGTGGTGGCGGCGGTGGCGGTCGTGGAGGCACTGGCGGTGTCCAGAGCCTGCAGCACACTCCGTCGCCCCAGGAGCTCCGTGAGTAGTACGCTCAGCACGGGGGGGGGGGGGGGGGGGTGGCCTTAGCTGCACGTACGTCATCCGCACTGGTGACCGCGCTGGTCAGACGTGTGGGAGGGCGCACCCCACGCAGCGCTGCTTCTCACGCCTCGACGACGCTTGGCGTATTCAGTTCCCTGACGCCACTGAGCTGCCCCGCTGGGTTGATCTGATGAAGCAAAACATTGATATCTTTGCTCTAGACTTTGATGCTATTCTCTCTGCCATGTATGTGATGTCTACTAGTGGAGAGGGTGCCCAGTACCTGCGTGTTCCGCCCGACCCGGGCATTCGAACCGGTGAGGCTGCCGCTCTAGGTGCTAGAGTGTCTGCTACCCCAGGTGCTGGTGAGGCTGCTGCTCTAGGTGCTGGTGCGTCTGAGCCCCTTGGTACTAAGTCGACTGCGGCACTGCACACCTTTACACTAGACTCAGGTGCCTCCCGCTCTTTCTTTCGTGACCGCACGGCTCTTGAGCAGCTTGCCAGGCCCGTTGCAGTCTCTCTCGCTGACCCCTCTGGGGGTCCAGTCCTTGCGACCTCCTCCACTGTCCTCCCCTGTCCGGCCGTCCCGTCGCGCACACTGTCCGGTCTCTACCTCCCCTCGTTCTCTACGAACTTGGTGGCGGGTAGTGCGCTCTAGGACAGGGGTGTCCACCAGTTCACCCCTGCCTACGAGCGCGTGACACACTGCACGTGTGCTCGTACGGGCCGTCACCTGGCGACCTTCATACGGCAGCCCGGGTCGGACCTGTACACACTGACTACTGAGTCCCCTCAGGTAGCTGCATCTGCGTCTGCGTCAGGTCAGCTGTCTGCCCCCTGCTCGTGCCGCTCTCTGGCGCACGAGACCGTCCTCTGGCACCACCGACTTGGTCACCCGTCCGTGCAGCGCCTTCGGGCGATGCACAAACGGTACCTTGTCTCTGGTCTTCCCAGAGTTCTCCCTCCCCTCCCACCCTCGCCTGCTCCTCCCTGCCTTCCCTGTGTCGAGGGGCGGCAGCGCGCTGCTCCTCACGCCTCCTCGTTTCCCCCGCAACTGCTCCCCTGCAGACGCTCCACATGGACGTGTGGGGCCCCGCCCGCGTCCGTGGTCAGGGTCAGGAGAGGTACTTCCTGATAGTTGTGGACGACTACTCGCGCTACACCACGGTCTTCCCCTTGCGCACCAAGGGTGAGGTCCCTGATGTTTTGATCCCTTGGATCCGCGCTTCTCGTCTTTAGCTCAGCGAGCGTTTCCACTCGGACTTTCCTGTCCTGCGCTTGCACTCTGACAGAGGTGGTGAGTTCTCCTCCGACCTCTTGGCAGCCTACTGTGCGGAGCATGGCATCCGCCAGTCGTTCACGCTTCCGGCCTCTCCAC